GATTCAGAACTCATTCAATTAACATGGTTGTATTTGGTTTTTCTCAAAAATAAATCTTTTTTAAAAAATTTGAGTTATATATATATATACATCTATAACTAGCCGGTACGAGAGCTCCTTTATTCCTGGTATGTCGATATTGAGAAACAACCTGCCTGAGGACGCTACTCCCAGTTCTGTTAACCTTGGGCAATTCAAAAATCAGATTTACAAGGTTTCTCAAAGCTCCTTATAGCAGTCGCGATGCTCTGGTTTTCGAATTTCTTCCTACGCGACTACATTAGTACTTAAAATATGCACATTAGGATTGCAATCTGAATGTGCCGTTTCTGCTAGATGATAAAACATCTGTTTCGAAGAAGTCGCGGAATGCCACAAAACCTAGTAATGATTGGTATTCTCTAAGAAACAAAACTGAATTTTATTTTCTAAGGGCTATGCGTTTTTTCATAGAAGGTATTTTTAATGTCAACTCTAACCGTTTGACGTTCTCTTCTAGCTTGTGACAATAAATCTTTTCCATAGCTGAGTCAGTTTGTTAATTATACCAATTACCTAGGAGGATAATCATCCAAAATGGAACCCAGATGTTGGAAGCTTAGTGAAACAGTTAAGATACCTACCTTAGACTCGGACCAATACCAAATATATTAGCAGTTTTTGAGTAAAAAAATGTCTATGCATGATTTATCATGCTCTTGTTCACCCAATTCTATCTGATGGAATTTCAACCTAGGGGTTGTCGTGAATAGTTAATGTAAAAAATCGAAATGTCTCAGACATTCGAGGGCGTAGGGGTTAAATAAAAATAAATTTCATAATATTCATACTGATTCACAACTTTTTCACTACCGGCAATTTTATTGTCATCTTATACAAGGTGTAAAGTAAGTAGTGGATCAACGGAAGTCAGGTGATAGAGGGCCCCAAAACATATCGAATGAACCTCTATATGTGTGGTCCGAAATTTTATATCTCAGGCGATATTTGCAATTTTGTAAAAATTCAAAAAAACGGGATAATGAACTTTCAACTTGCCTGACTTAGTAATTTCGGTCGGACCGAAGATTAAACGCTCCCGTACCTGGAATGCCGAGTTGAATGTCCAAGCCAATTAAGCTGATTTGGCTCTTTGCGTAAAAAATCCGCCATTTTGATTTTACAAAATGTTAATACACACAGTATCACCTGTAATGCTAGGAGGAATCTAACAGCACCTCATATGCCAAAATTTATCAGGTCGTTTGGACTGTAGCTGGTAAAATAGAATTTCTTGTTTACATGTAATATACCCAGCTGCGTCAGACATACAGATTTTTTAAGGTGAGGCATTTATCGTACCAAGCTGAAGTTTTCAGGGTCCTACATGGATTGAAATAGTTCTTACAATAAATTGAATAATGAAATACAACCTAACCTTTTTACCGCCCTCTATAGTTGAGGGATGGAAGAAATTTTTCCCAAAAAATTAATTTAAGATTTTTTGCGTTGATTTATAATTAGCTCTGTTAAAGAGTAACATAAGCATTGCTGAAACTAACCATTTATCTCATCTCAAAAAATTAAATATTTCACAAAATTGCAAATATTTCCTGAACTATAAAATTCATTCGATAGGTTTTGAGGCCCTCTGTCACCTGACCTCCGTTGATCCACTACTTACTTTACACCCTATATTTAATCAAGAGCACTAAATTATTGCGTCTATCAAATATACTCGTCAAATCAACTTAATGAAATATTTGCAGATGTACTATTAATAAAAAATATATATAAGTCCAAAACTTTCCGCAGACTTAAAATTCCCTCGAAGTTGAGCTTAGATCGCGGATTCAAGCAAAAGCAAGATTATTTATTAATAATAATAATAAACAAAATAAAATAATAACCCTTTCTCAAAGGCATTTGTACATTGGACCAAGACACGTCCTAAATCTGTTGTATTTTGATTAACTAAAGCACAAGTTTTAACCATTTTCAATGTTTTATCTTTACTGGGTACTGTATTTTTATGCGTTGCTTATATTATTTTGTGACTTGCTTGCTTCTCTGGCAGTGCTAGAAGGCTAATTCTTTGAGAATACTCGCAGTCAATGCACTCAAGGGAAATTCCGATGTACGTGTTTCACATCAGCAAATGCCGAGGAACGACTCTTTGGGTAATGATATCATCCTTCGAGAAAGAAGCCGTTGCTCTATAAGCGCAATGGTCTGCAAGGCAATCACAATTCATCACCTACCCTGTACGATTTCATAGATTTGCATTTCAATGCCTGGGGAGCTTTCAAATATGCTTCAATATTCTCTATGTTTTCATTTTCCCAACTTGTGGTAAATGTGTACCTTCCTATAATTTTAACGCTGAGTACCCTACGCAAAGAAGAAATGACGGAATTCGGTGTAGATAAGGACCGGTAGCCCTGGCGTGTAACACGCTTATTATTGTTATTCTACCCAATTGATCGCATCAGTTTGACAGACTAGCCCAAATATCAGCGCACCCTTCAAGTTATTAATTTGGCAGTTTGACAGTAAAGTTATAATTGAAATGTGAAAGGTGCTAACTGTGTTGGCCTGTCTACCGTGCATCCACGCGAGCTTCTAGTAAAAACAATTTCGTTTCGCTTATCTAAACTTATTTATCTGTTTGGCCCACTAAGATAAACTAAGATTGCTGCTTACATTCCCTGACTTCTATTGTTATGACGTTCAGTATAAACAACAACAGAGAACTGACCTTAGTCCGGGCGATATCTTGACATCAGAGGGAAAATATTCTGATTCGGATCTTTTGCATAATCTTATTCAAAAAGGGCCCTTTTGACGAATACATGCATGTTGCTAGGCCTAAATTTGCATTACAAACGTTTTAAACAGTTTTTGAAACAAATCCAAAAACGGTTTTTTCGGTTTGGTGTGTCTTGGGACCTTCTGAACAAAAAAGGTAGTTTGTAACTTTTCTCTAGAGCTAATAGTTCTCGACATATAAGTGATAAAACATTTGAATAGGTGCGAAACATATCATCTGCGATCCCAAAAAACAATATGAAAAAACGGAAATTTTGATGTTGCCCAAATTTCTAAATATTCTTCAAACGCCTAGTAACAGAATCCTAAAGCCATTCGGCAAGTAGTGGTATTGTACACCTTTCTCTTTTAATTGTTAATGGAACTCGTGCTCAATGGTTCTCTGTCGCAAATCAATTGAAAAACAAAGCTTGACAATAACAATACCTCGTGTTTTCGTATTGTTTTTCGGGGTCGAAAACGGCATATTTCACACCAGTTCTTCAAATATTGTGACTTTAAAACTATAAGTTTATTAGGTACCTTTTTTTGTTCAGAATGTCATAAAAAACCTAAAAACACTCTGACGGGAGCAAAAAATGCAATTTCTGGAATCCGCTTTGTTCAAAAAAGTTTTGACTCCGATTGAGCAACATGCAGATCCGTCAAACTAGGCCCTTTTTGAATGATACTATGCAAAATATCCGAACATTTCCCATCAGATGCGAAGATATAGTCCAGATAACCTGTGATCTAACATCATAATCAAGCAATTAGTAAAGAACACAATATCTCCTACACGTGACAGTTGACGAACTTAGAGCAACAAGGGGCACACGCCACATCTCAGTAGATACCTATGCAAGTTGACTTGGTTGGCGATACGCTTATATATATATTACTATAACTCCTAGGAGTGCTGTTTTACACCAACAATGCTGTAAGCCACTCAAATTCCAGGATAGATGTTTCAGTGATATAGAAACTGACGATGATTCTGTATTTAGTTAAAAAGGTAGTCCGAAGAGCAGAGACTATCGACCGACTCTTAGCACTTCTGATGGTGCCTATGAAGGAGTATCTCAGGAAAGAAGATATGTGTCTTATAACCTTGTTGCCGTTATAGATGTAGCTTATGCCTATTTTACGTAGGAAAACCTTTTTTCGTATTAGTTTTACAATACTTCCAGATAATGATTTCAGACTATATAGTTATCAGATTATGTCATAAGACCTCAAATAACTTTACACGTCAAAACCATCTAGGATTAGTGGATTATGCTCTTACACATCAGATCCGCCTGTGATTTTCATCATTATCAGGAATATTGATGTTTTTCTTTAAACGCATCTGACCCAGTCAAACAGAACTTTTATGCATTTAACTTGGTATCTATTCTATTATCGTTGATTGTCCGAGAAATCTAATAAAATGTGCTGACAATCGACACCCAAATTGTATGTAAAAAACAACATTATTTGAATAACCCTTAGAGTGCAACTTTTTCTTATAATATGACACCAAGCAAAATATTTTGAAAAATGGATGTTTCATGAAACTGCGTCGCATTTTTTGATCCTGTCATAACGAATTCATAGTTTCACAAAATGTAAATTTATTGTAGCAGCCTAATCTTGAAATAAGCTAAACTGTATTTCTAGTTTTAACTTTCATATTGATTACCCAAACACAAAACACTTCCTTAAGTCACACAAATATATGCACACACAATTTTATTCATTCTTTATTCATATATGTGACTTAAGGGAGGTTTCGTATCCCCCTGTGACGTGCTTGGTGCATCAATAGATTGCGCTGAAGAAAACGGCAAATGAACGACGAAATGTAGGCTTTTTCGGTAAGATGCACCTTTGTCACTAGTGTCGAAAAATCCGAAGATAAGCTTTTGTTGAATAAGCTTAATGTGGTTCAGATGCTATGTGTATGTATTTACTACATCAAAGCAGTATTCCGTGTGTATTGCTAGGAGGCTCATAATAACTAAAAGAGTCTATAATTTTGTGCACCTTACTATGTAATGAAAATTCGTTTTATCGAATAAATAGCTGCGTATAATTGCATTTTTTTTATTTTTCGTGGTGAGTTTGCAACGTAAAGTCAAGGGAAACAACTGTTTACATAAAAGTGCCTCCAGTGGTTGGTGATAAATCATATAACGCAGCTTTAGAAAACAACAAAAATATTTTTATTGGCAACAAATAAATAACAATAAATAAAATAAATTAATATCTCAGGCTGGTTTGTATTCTGGCTGTAGGCCCAGTGGCAATGGCATGTCGAAACTCCTCCCGTATCCGGAATGTCCATGGTGGTGGTCCTCATGCGCTATTGAGTGAGAACTAGAATGAGTATACACTGGTTTGGCTACCACTTCATAGCTGGTCTTACCGTGATGGTGATGTAGCGACTTCAGGCCAATTATTGCCGAGATCAGCAGAGAAATTAGACCAGTCATGAGGGCCTTTCCGGCCAACGCAGCCAGAGCGCCAAGGGCCAGGGCGCCAAGGGTTCCCTTCATCAACGCGGCGGCCGCCAGGATCATGCCCATTCCACCGCCGCCTTTTTTGCCGCCGCCGCCGCCCCCGCCACCACCACCACCTCCTCCTCTAGCCGTTGATTCATCTCCTCCAGCTGCATTGAGTAGATTCAATTTCAGGGAATGCGAGCCCAGGTATCCATGAAGTTTCTTCAGCAGGAAAGCGTCTAGCCTAGCGTCTGGGTCGTCGGGGAACTCCCTTGCAAGGTCCGACACGATATCGGCCGTATTGGCACTGGCACTACTATTTTCCTTCACTATCGTCACACCGGGTAATACACTGTAACTGTCATCCTCGTTCAACTTATCAATCCATGACACAACGTCCAACTTGAGGCACGTGATACCGTACGAATTTTCACAGTCTTTTGCGAGGGACTTCTTGTACTCGGTCCTGTCATTTTTGACAGATTGCTCAGCGGTGGTGAGCGCAACAACGAACGCGAATGATATGACCGATTTCAGCCACATGGTGCTGAAGCTGCGATCGTCGGAATACTGGTGCCGGCCATCTAAAATCGCCGTGTTTATATAGTAAAATCTCGGGATTGAAAAAGTCGCAGCTAGGCTAGATGAAGCAGTTACTGGAGCACAAAGTAATTGTTGCGCCGCTGAAGTGACGGGATGAACGAGGATTCGACGGATCTTTTGTGCAGGACCGGCACCGACATTCGGTCTAGTTGTATGTATTATTGTTGTAATTTACTTTTACTCGCGATCTTTGTGGTTATCTGCAGTTTGATCTTGTTTTTCTAGAAAGCAAAGAATGAATAATAGCAACAGATTTTTATCGGGATGTCTATGGCACCCAGAGATCGAACGACGATGCTATAGTCTCGTCAAGAGGAACATAAATACATATATATAAACCGAGGAAAAGTGAACACGTTAAGCGGTCTGAAATTATTTATATGAAGTTAGGGAAAACATCTTGAAGGATATTTTATAAAAAACAGTAACTCTTAGTTAGTTGTGAGTTTCAGGAACAGATATAACAAAAACAGCAATATGCAGATTGTCTATTTTGTCTGGTCATCCGGGGCAAAGTGAGTAGATATCTTGATTTTTTTGGAACACAGTTTTATTACTACTACTGATGGTATACATTACGAATATGGTTTTTATCTATTCGCAGTTTTTCGCAAAGTAATTGAAATTGTCCGAGCATGACCATTTATTCAATACTCTTCATCTATGTGACTCAGAAAGTCAGCACAGTTTTGTTTGTTTTTGATCAAGTCTGACGGAGCTGTAGGTGGATGGTGGAGTATTTAATAAAAAGCAAGACAGTGGATTGTCAGAAAACGCTTAAGTTGATACTACTTGACAATTACATCTAGCGGCAACTAAAACAAGATTTCTGTACCATACATTAATTACTGTTAATCTGCATACTGTTGCAGCGAATATCGCGTTCAAAGAGTTCCATCTCTGTCTCATCAGAATATTGAACAAAGGAATACATATCGTTAATGAATACCCAGATATAAAAATATAGCTAATGTTTTAGCTATGCAAATGACGTATTCGCTGGGCGTTTTTCCGAACTGTCTAAACTAAGAGATTTCCAAGTAATCTTACACTTTTGTTTGATTGATTACGAATGTCTTCTACCTATATAGCAAAAAACCTCTAACGAGATATCAGGTCAATATCGCTACTCCTTCGGTTCAGAGCTACCAACTTTATCCATTTTAGACTTCCTTGCAACAAGATTTCCTTAGGCTTTTCTTGTTAGCTAGGCCGCAGTACCCTTAGTTATTAGACTATTGGGCATAAAAAAAACTGTCTCTGATAGCGCTTCATGGGTTGATAGTTGTAACGCTGTGTGAGCGCTAAACCTTTAAAGCTAGTGGCAATGGCGATGACAAGAGATACTGTCCAGTATCAGTGCGACAATAAGCTTGTCTGTACCTTACGCGACAGGACTATAGAAACACTTTATCCACACTCTGATTACGTTACAGCGAGATTCATATTATTTTCCAATTATACTTCTCAAAGATATACCATTTCATTGGTTTGCGGATATGCAGTTCTTTTGCAGAGGAGCAGGTGGCATTTTATGTATTCCACTATCACCTTGGTTTCCTGTCTGATCCATCGTTATTCCTTTGTGGTATGGTTTCATCTGCAATCTTTATTCCAGTCTAAATAATGATAGAATTAACCATGTTCACAAAAATTATTCAAGCGGGATTGAAATACAGTCGGAAGCAAAAGTTTGCGCGACATTTTTTCCATACTAAAAAGAAATGTAACAAGTGTCAACTACGCAACTTAGTAATTAATTAAGGTGAATTGTGAATGGCTAAGAGGTCCACTGAAACTGACAAAACATTTTGGCCAGAAAAACTTATTTTAGTATTGCTTAAATTTAGGAAAGCGATACGCATTTTGTTTGTTCTCAACGATACGGGAGTTGTGAGCTTATAGCGCAATTTTCCATAATGGTAATGTTGTCTTTGTTCTTACATTCTTATCAACAAGCTTGGCTTCCGGTATCCTGTCTTTATATGATAATACTTCGTTTCTGTTTCCACGTTTGTGAGAATCAGGTAATCTGACTAACACGGATTTCATGCGCTATAGATTATTCATCACTACGCGTCACACATCAACAATAGCTCATAAAGTACTTAAGCATGTTTGGTATACTAAGGAAATATGACGATCGATATAACTGGTCTACCCATGCTACGGATGATAAAACAGTTATTAGATGTTGCTCATATTTTCTAATACCTGCCAGTTAAAAATCCATCTCCATTTTGCTACTGCGTCAGTGGTATTGGTACAAACATGGTTTTCATATTTTATTCGAGTAGCCTTGTGAGGCATGTGCTGCAGTTAGCGTCGTTTTGTTCACCTTTACTGAGTTCTCATTTGACAAAATTTGAATGAGATATTTAATCAGATATCTGTTGGCCATATACTATAGAGTATTGGACAAAAAATCAGCAGTTCCGGTCCTGCACCAATGTCCACTATCAAATTTTCCATCAACACATTCACATACTCTGCTTCTTATTGGCGCGCAGCTGTTTCACTTTTGAAGCTCGTCGCTTTGTTGATACATATATCAAATTGGTCGGGTCAAGACGAGTCTTCTCATTTTCTCCTATAATTTACAAGCTAATGTGCGGTTTGACCGTCTTGATGTTTAGTTCAGGAAATTTGGATTCCCATGATTCGTATTTCACCTTCGTTTCGTACTAAGATAGAAGCGAAGAGGGAATTGAGGATTTGAGTACCCCAACTGCTACAACAGGCTTATAGCAGCCGGATATTTGAAAGTGGAGATTGTTTTACAATATCGATACCTTAGAAATAAAGTTGTCGCACCGGCCAGCTCATGATGTATGAGTATCCAATCAAATCATAATGAAAGCTATGGCGTACCTAGAAAGCAGCTGCGCCATGGAGGAGGGCTAGAGGCGTTAAGTCCTTTGACGTTTTGTTAGAAATGAGCGGGGATATATCTCTTAACGAAGTTGCACCATCTCAGAACAACATAAATCATAGCTAAGCAGCATTACTCCAGGGTCGTAATCTTTCAACGAAGGAATGAGATTGATGGAGGATGGCGAAACTTCCGCACATTTCCACCTGAGAATGACTTGGTGAGCGAGTGTTCTGTTAGTGTTCGGGAATAAAGTTCACCGAGCGGTAAAGGAACCCCGCACACTATTTTCAGTTATTCTATTTCATCATTGCAAAAACAGGACTTTAGGGGGACAACTCTCGATCACAGTAGTGCTTTCTAGGGAATGCTTGTCGGAGAATGATCCAAAATTCTGACAGCTGTTGACGTTTGTTTAATGAATGATATGTTCCTAGTGCTCTTTATATCATTGAATGTTTCTCAAAGCAAACCTCCTCTTCAAAAATGAGACTTGCGGACTTTCTCTCCTGAAAATGACTCGCGTAGCAGCTCTTCTATTAGTGTCAAAGAATACGGTTCCCCGTCGTTTTAAGATTTGATTTCCAGACATGCAATCAGTACTCCAAGTGGTTAATTCTTGAAATTACGGAGCAGAATAATTGAAACAGGATGAGGATGGTTATTTTATCTTTCGGGAAATGTATTTATGAATGCTGATATTGAAAACGCCCACGATAGACTCGCTGGAAAAAAATGCAAGAAGTCCTGCCGTCATCCATTAGTCTGATTTCTTATGAAAAATAATCGTCGGATGTTGGTGCACTCACTGGTTTCCTGTACTATGGAAGAAATTGTTCCGGTATCTGTTAACGATGAAGGCGTGGGTCCGGCCATTTGGGCTATATTTTCAGGTTCCCCTGCCATGTAGGAAATTAATGATGACTTACAAAAACAGAAAATAGTATACCATATAATTGTGATGACCACAATACGTGTGCAGTAGAGCTGAACAAGATGCAGGAAAGTGAAAATGTGTAGCAGGATATCATCGGAGATTCAGCGAAAGTGAGTCCACTTAACATTTCACCAGTTTTACGTTTTGTCAATAATTAGCACCCCTTGTTATAATATGGGACAAACACCGACGATCTATTTGACACAAAAGAGTGTCATAAAATAGGTCATTTTCTTCGTTCCAAAAGTTCATAATGCTGCAACTGTATGCGATTTAATTAATTGGGCTTCATTTTAAGTATGCCCTTTACTTGTAGAAATAACCGATCTTCAAAAAGAAATAACACCATATTTTTAATATAAACCTTATCGACGCATTGGTAAATTAGTGATATCAGGGAAAGGAGAGGATGAAATGCTATTCGGATTGGAAGGCCAAGTTACAGAGAGATGTGTGAAGTTTTGTTAAGCCGGCTTAGGTGTTTTGAAATTATAAAATTATTTTTGCTCGGACATCATGACTTTGGTTCTGAAGCAACGAAAACTTTACTGTAATACACTAAGTGACATATAAATCCGAACACCCAGTTTAAGTGGTTTTATTTTAATGAAATTTTGTATAAGTACTTAATGAAGCATAATAAGTAAATGATAAAAATTTCAAAATGATTGCACTGCTTTAAAGCCCTTTGACCTTTAATAACGTGTGGATGCACCCTGATGTGCTACGCATTCTCCAATGCGCCTAGGCATGCTTCTGATCAGGTGGTCAATGTCCTCCTGTGGTATCTCATTCCAGGCAACCACCAACTCCTCTCGAAGTGCTTCTAGAGTCTGAGGAGGACGTTGCAAATTGAGCAATCTCCTACCCATCATATCATTATGTTGAAAGAAGTGACTCTTGCAACATGTGGTCGGGCATTAACTTGTTGGAAAGTTGGATCTGCCAGGGTGTCAAGATAGGGTAAAAGATGGGATTCGAGAACTTCGTGGATATAACGCTGCGCGTTCACGTTACCTCTGATGAAGATTAAAGGTGACCTGGAACCATAAGCTATAGCACCCCAAACCATAAGTCCAACAGTGTGATGAACATGTCTTTCAACAAAAAACTGTGGATTCCTACTTTCACCACGTCGCCTCCTAACCCTGGCACGACCATCGTGCATGCCTAAACAAAATCGAGACTCGTCACTAAAGACAATACTGTTCCATTCGTGATCCCAGAGTGACCGTTGTCTGCACCACTCAAGGCGACTACGTCGGTGTTCTCGAGTTAAAGGGAGGACCCAGTGAGGCCGGTATGAAAACAAGCCAAAACTTCTCATTCGTCGGTAAACACTTCGCATGCCAATAGGTCTTCCGTGTTCTGCAAACCATTCATTTGCAATGGACCTGGTAGTGGAGAAACGG